ATTTCCTGTGTCATGTTGTCCTCCCCTGTGGGTAATTCCAGGCCCAATGAGCATCTTAGGACATGGAGACAATCCGAAGAACTCCACATAATCCAGAGTGTTAGATGGTTCAAGTCCGGCCTTGGCCATCCAAAGAGCACCCTTTCTTTCGGTAGTTCAAGTTTATCGTTAATTAATTAATCCACTACCTACTGTAGCAAGCTATGGGTATACAATGGTGAAAAAACACAGTCCCGTCCTTGTGGAACTAAGAACCAAGGGCATTTCAAGACACCTTGGAGGTTTTGCGATCTAGGAAGAAGGAGACCTAGAGGTCCATACTCACAAATTGGGGAAAAACTGGGCACAAAGTGACCAAGAAAATTCAGTCCTTTTGAGGCCTTTTGGCAGTGTTAGAAAGACCATACAAGTCATATTGGCTGATTGCTTTTGGCCTTCTTTCCACAGGATATGTCCAAAGAAAGATACACGAATGATTAGAAAAGACTGCTTGGCTCCGTTGGACAGAGGATGGAGGGCAGGGGCCGAGCAGGTTGGGAACTAGACAAGCTTCAGGAGCAGAACACATTTCTTTTCCAGGAGTGTCCCATGGCTGTAAAAGAGGGCCCCCAATCCTGACGACGGGTGCCTGCCTGCAGCACCTCGCCCAGCTCTATGGATGGTTAGTTAAATCACCCATCGAATGGAAACCACTGCCTTCTTTGAATTGAGTCAGGTTTTCTCTGTCCATCCCTGTTGCTTGGGACCGTCCGTGTCTGCCCCTTAAGAAAGAAAATAACTCTTGGCTATCTTCAGTACCTTTAAACAGTAATTTTCTGGGGGTGCACCCAGAAAGAATGAAGCAACTTCCACCTCTAACTGACCTCCTCAGTGTAAGGAGTCTGCAGTGAGGACCACGTGGGTAATCTAGCTGAGAACCTTTCAGTGTCATTTACACTATCATTTATGTCTGTCTCACTCAGAAAAGAATTAGATGCCACTGAGTGGATGCCCAGCAGTCGGTGTCAAAGCTTTTTCTGTTCTGCAGGTTCCTAATTTGAACACTGGCTTCTCCGGTGTCCATTTTTTTAGGTTGAAAGATTTTAAAACTAAGGCTGCGAAACCGTCTAGTTCTAGCACAGCTCAAGAAGCCTTGGATTGTGGAAGGCCATGCGTGTCCATCATCTATGGGTTCTGCTATGGACTGAACAGTGTCCCCCCAAATTCATATATTGAAGCCTTCACATCCATGTGACTATATCTGGAAAGAAGGAGCTAATTAAGGTTAAGTTAGGTCTTAAGTGTGGAGTCAGGATTGGCGGCCTTTTGTTGTTGTTCTTGTTAATCCTCACCAGAGGATATTTTCCATTGATTTTTAGATACAGTGGAAGGGAGGGAGGGAGAAACACTGATGTGAGAGACACATCGATTAGTTGACTCCTGCATGACCCCAATCAGAGCCAGGGATTGAACCTGCAACTCAGGTACATGCCCTTGACCAGGAATTGAACCTGAGAGCCCTCAGTCCTCAGGCCGATGTGCTGACCACTGAGCCAAACCAGCCAGGACAGGATTGGAGGCTTTATAAGAAGAGGAAGTGGTTTGTTTCCCTCTCTCCCTGCACACGCGCCGAGGAAACGCCGTGTGAGCACAGCGAGAAGGTGGCTGTCTTACAGTCCAGGGAGAGAATTCTCACCAGGACATGAGTTGGCACCTTGATTTTCCAGCCTCCAGAACTGTGAAAAATAAATATCTGTTGTTTAAGCCACTCTGTCTGCGGTAGTTTGTTTTGGCAGCCTGAGCAGACCAAGACGGGTCCTTTCATGGTCCCCTCAGGATGCTCTCACCACCCAAGCCCAGGGCACACATGGGAGGGTGGAGGGGAAGCGGGGCAGGAGTGCGGGGAGTCAGCAAGTGTTTGCAATCACGGGGGGGACTCGTCAGGACGGATGTGGCTTGGAAAGCAGATGTTTGGCCATAATGCTCAGCTTTCCTGCACCTGGGACACTACGGCACACATAGCCTTTGTCTGATGAGATGGCGTGGTGGTGAGGAGAGCAGGGGACTGCAGGGCTAGACCCAACGTCTGAGTTCTCATCTCGACTCTTCGACGTGACCTTGAAGAAATGCCTAGCTCCTGATTTGTAAAATAGTGAACTTGATGGTACTGAAGTTACTGAGTTGATCTGTGATGGGGTCTGAGTTGTAGAAACCATTCAGGACAGTGCCTGGCACGTAATCTGTGCAATATCACTGGGTGGTGATTACAGTAATAATTAACTATTACTGTGACAGTGGGGTGGTCACATACTGACCCAGTTTTCACTTCCAATGGTGGAATGCCTTCTTAAAGCTTGTGTTAAAGTAGGAGCCCACCATCAGTACCTGTGTTCATGGAAGAAAGACACTAAGTGCCTACCTTCAGAAGAATTAAAATTGAAAAAAAACACACAAAAATCCCGAAGCATGAATTGGCTTTGCCAAGCTTGCAGATTTAAGGTTCGTTAGAATCTGTTTCCTGCGTTCCAAGGGGCAGAGACTAAGAGCTTTAGAACTCAGTAAATACTTTCTTAACGATCTTTTAGACTCTCACAAGGATGTGTTTTCAATGTTAGATAATGAGTTTTCCATATTCGCCCAAAGTACTGTATAAATACCATCATTTTTTTGGTAATCTCCTGAGAGTTCATTTCATTTTATAATTAAGTTTTATTTCAAATAACATTTTATTTTCACTTTTTCCATCTGTTCAACAACGAAAGATTTTAGAGAGAAAGTACAACACTATATAGCAAAGCAGCAAAATTTCATAACAAACAGACTGGGGTGGGAGGGGCATTCATTTTCTGATAGGAGGGAGTATGTTCCCCGCTGGACTTCTGACCAGCCACAAAATCTAAGGTCCTAGTACAGGTACAGGGATGCCTGGCCATCGCATTCACAATTCTCTTCCATAACCACCACCACGCACTGTCAGGGTGCACTGAGTTCCTTTGCACCATTCCACACAGCAATATAAACGGGGTGTGGCAAACACGGCTTTTCATAGGCATTCTCGACTACATGCTGGAATCTTCACCCCCACCGTCTGTGACCGTCAGTGTCCACGGAGATCCCAGCCCGACGTGGTGCCTGGTGTTGTTTGGGACCATCGTCAGCTAGATTATAAACTTCCTGGGGCAGGGATTCTGTTTCACGGGCCAAGACTGGAATAGTGCCAGCACATAGTAGGTATTTGAAAGAACACATGGGCCATGGAAGAATGACAACATAAAAACTGGGAGATTTTGGTTTAGAAGAGAAGGTGAATGTCAAAATAATCCGTCAAAAAGAGGACATGTGGTTCTGAGTTTCAGAGCCTGAGAGAATAAGGTGATTTTTTCCCCCCCTCTATTCCTTCTAATAAAAAAAAAGAATTCCCTGGGTTATTTCTAAATCTGCACTTAGGGCACATTCCATATAAGACTAGAATCTTCTAAGCAACTATTCCTGGAGAAGATTAATAGAAGCGAGAGGAGACGCAATTAAAGTCTTAACTCAGAGTTTGAAAATCACCTTTTAGTATTTAAAGAGGCATTAATCATGATCATTAATCAATAGAAAGGAATGTTCACAGAATGCTTAGAATAAATGTTTGCTGAAGCAAAAAGTCAGAGGAGAAAAGGAAGGCATACATGCCCAGGGCTGAAGACAAATTCTGTCTTTTAGGTTTAACAAATTAAAGCTCCTGGAAAGGAACAATTCACCAGAGGGAAACATTACTGTACAACCTATAAAATGGACCAAGGTCAGCAGAACCTCAGCGGTGTGTGTGTGCGTGTGTGTGTGTGTGTGTGTGTGTGCACGTTTTCCCCCTGTGCCAGTCATTGTTGAGAAATGAGTTTCTTGCAAGCCTGATTTAGATATTATGCCGAGAAGTTACTCAATGCCAAGGATTAGGAAAGTACTTTTATTCCCTTTACTGCTTGCTGACAAGAATGAATTCCAAACATTTTTGGTAATTCTCTGTGCTTTAAAATTTTTTTGAGGCTGTCCACTATGTCACTGCTCTTTAATTCATTCACCCATGCTAGACACTCAGGTGTCTCCTTTGGTTTGTGCTTCTGAGACTTCTTTCCAAGCAAGTAATTATACCTGAGATTTCTAAAGCCAACCCCCAACCCTCCCCCCCAAGGATGGCTTTTTTATATGAAGTGACTTCACTGTGTAGAAAGGTGAGTTTTCAAGTCCCTCCTCACTCGAATATGTGAATGTCTTTGGACATTTACGTAAAACTTATGTGTAAGAGTTTTAGCTAAAGACAGATCAAAGGGGTTTCTGGGGACCCATCCAGGCTTCTCTTGGTCCTAAGCTCTTCTGTGCTGCTTTGACACCTTCCACACACCGCGGGAGCCTACATTATGTTGTCCTGTGCTATTGAGATGCTGCTACTATAAACAAGGTGGATTTTGTTATTTTGTTTTTCCCTTCCCCTAATTGCTGCGACAGCTGGGTCCTGGGTCATCCAGACCATCGGCCTCTGCGAAGAGGAATGAGAATTGTGAGGGGGGCTGGGTTAGGAAGAACTGAGGCTTGGGGTCCCAGCGGGCAGGGATGCAAACTAGCCTCACATCAGAATTAAATCTATGACCCGAGACTGCACAATACTGTGTCATTACTAGAGTCCAAGGAATGTCCATGTTTTCTACAAGTTAATTCCAGGTGGAATCATGGCTCTTTATGTCTGTGATCAAATCACTTAGTCTAATTAAGCTCCATTTTCTTCTTGTGATTGGAAGTCTTCATGAAAACCCTTTATAGACAGATTTCTCTTTCCCCAAGAAACTGTTACTATGACCCAGCATCAAAATATTCCAAAGCCTCGAGACCAGATTCTGTAATCATCTCTGTCAAAGAACAAAACTAAACAGCTAAATCAGGAAGTAGACAATAAAAGGCAGATCACATTTAGACAAAGACATGGTTACTTTTTTATTTGAAGGGGGGGAAAAAAAAGTATGTTTTAATAAATACTGCGGAAACATTGACCAAACAAACATACAAATTGACTTCAACAATTTAAAAAAATGCAACGCAAGTTCTGCTTTTTAACAGTTATAACTTATTTCCTTTTTACAATATTTAAATACAGAAAGCACTAGCCAGCTATTTTGTAACACTGCTCAAAGCATAATGCTGCCTCAATCAAAGCATATGATGTTGGTAGAAACGTCTGTATTTCGTGGGAAATGACTGGAATGGTGTTTCCTTGCAGAGACAAAACAAAGTGCTTGTGAGACATAGAACTAAGTTTGTAATTACCTTAATCTCCTCTCCTGCCACAACTAAAATGGGAGCGACAGCTTCAACACTTCAAAAATGAAGCTTTATCATTGGAAAGAAAGCTCGTTTTCAACAAGCGCCAACAGGTCAGGTCTGGTCTATGCTCTGAAAGAAGCTCTAAAAGGAACTGGTCAAAACTATCTGTAAACTATTTTAAATGCTGATTATTATAGGTAATGACAGCAATCAAGTACTGAACATGGGCCCTGTCAGAATCCGGTTAAGTGAGGTTTAGCAATCACTCTCTAGAAATGGCTAGCATAGTGTCAGGATGGACAGTCCATGGATTCTCTAAAGTTTGGACATGAGGGTCTTTTTCTGATCATGTTCATTTGAAGAAAGTGAACTAAACCAACAGATTCCTCAGCCGCTGCCAACTTCGGAGTTCCGCCCCCAAAATAAGAGGCCTTTTGCTTTGTACTTTTGGTAACAATTCCAGACAGCTTTTACTCACATACTGTGCTTTCTGCTACTATTCCTTCATTATTTCTTCAGGTGAAACAGTACCTACATTTCTTCCCCCTTGGATCATTCATTCTATGACGTCAAACCAAGACACCTTCCATTTGACTTTGCATTTTCATTAACGACAAAAAAAAAAAAAAATCACACACCGTCTTTTCTAAACAGCGCACAAAAATATTACCTTGAGCAATTTACCACGTTTTAATGACAATCACAATGATGAACAGAACCATCAGACTGAATAAAAATCGACACTTTTTTTCCTGTTTGATCGCCTGCGTCTCTTGCAAGGCTGCAAAAGCCTTTCTTCGGGGCCGTGTTGCTCGGCTATCTACAGGAAGGCAAGATTTCAAAGCCTCATCACTTCTCTCCTCTGGACATCCCACGGGTCCTGATACAATTTCCATTTTAATGATGAGCTAGAAGGAAATTAGATCACATCCTCTAGAAAACTAAACGCTAAGGTCACAGTGCCAGTTCCCCAATGAGGACGGTATATTAATATATACTTTTTTGTAAAGGAGATTAAAACATTTAAAAATTAAACCAAAGCGGAGATTCATGAATAGGTTATAACAAAGAAAACAACAACGCAAGCACCAATCTGCGCGGGATTTCTCTTCTTGGAGGCGCTGGTGTTCCTCCTCGCCTCCCTCACCTCTAGCCCATCTGAATCGCTCTTTTTTTGGCATATTTCTCAAGTCACGCTTCAGAACTCTTCAACGTTTTCACTTTTCACCACTTGTTCTACACGCCGAACCTAAGGACAGGACTCCAAAAAGATGAGCATCCTTTCAAATGCCTCCCAAGCCTCCGGAATGTGTGACTTTGGCTGTGCACTTCATCCAGACTTCACCTTTTTGTTTTGTTGTTGATTTTGTGGTTCTTTTGTTTTGTTTTGTTTTTTTTTACACTAAATTTCCGTGTCCTCATTCAGGATACCGGGAGAATCACATCACAGTGCAACTCTTCGCTTTGTCCTTTCGTAAGTCCGTGGCCACGGCCGAGAGCTCCGGTCTGCTGGGCATGTGCGAGATGCGCTTCGTGGCCCTCTGTGACTTGTTCCGCTTAACGTTTTTGTTTGTTTTGTTGACACACGCCAACGTAGCGACATGAAAAATGTCTCTGACGCTGTTCTCGGACTGTAATGCTGAGCATTCAATGTAAGTGGCTGCTCCGATCTGTTTGGCCATATTTGCCCCCTGAGAAGTAAAAGGAAGGGACTGTCATCAGCGATAAGTCTTTGGAGAAAAGTTATCAAGTGTCTTCTGAATGATAATGCATCACAATATGTTTCTAATGTTAACTGAATTTTCCAAGTGTGGCTGCAAAAAGTTTGAACTGCCTCCTTTATCATTTCATAAATATTTGCAGTTCTAAGATGCTCAATTTTCATCACTCAGTAGATATAGCTTGACATCCCAGAGGTGCTAAAGGCTGATCTAGTGTCACTGGGACATCAACAAATGAGGACCCCAATCACCAGTTACATTGAGGTGACTCAAAGAAGTAGGGGAGAAGCTAAGGAGGTGATTCTCTTCACTTTGAATCGAGTCTAACCAAAAGTAACTAGAAACTCTGGTCTTCCGGGTCACAGCAAAGTGTAGAATTACTCAGAGGATCCTACCATTGGAAAAAGTCGGCCGAACATCCTATGAATGTAAACGATGCATTTTCCACACAGCTCTGCCAGGGGTGGTTCGGCCCTACCCTGTCCCAGCACCCCCTGTCGTACTCAGTCCCTCTTTTCTTGAGTGTATATAGCACTCAAGACTAGCCATAGGCTGTACCAAAAAACAGGGATCAGGGATGGAATTCAGAACCAATTTTGAGATGTATAGAATTAAGTCTTAGGACCAAAATAAAATGGCTGAAGGAATAATACTCTATGACATCTATAACTTTACTAAACACAAAATATGTACTTTGTAAACGTGGCCCATACAACCCAGTGTGCATCAAAACAGTGTATTAAATAGCAAAATTTTTGTTAATTAGAAATGTAAGACAAAGGCTGCAGTCTTTAAAATAATGACTACTTAAAAAAAAATTCTAGTTTTCAGCACGAACTCTCTTTAGAACTTGTAAGTTTTAAGAGAGTAAATTTCTAAAACCAGTTCTTCTCCTTTATAAATATTTTGGGGAACCACCTGAAGAAATGATGAATCTCTAAAAGACAGTTTTATGGAGTGTTCTACTTTACTGGCAAAGGCTTTTTTTTTTATTTTTTAGTATTTTACTGTGTTGCTGAGTGTAAAATAAGATGAACTCTCTTAAAGAGTATTACTGATGCTGACCACATCTTCTCTTAAATCCAGTGGGAGTTACAGAAATATACAAGGTAGCATATGACCCACGCACTGTTTACACTCTCAGTAATCAAACATCATGTGACTGCTGTACTAACAGGCAGAGTGTTCATACTTTAACAGATTTTTTTCCCAAACTTGTCTTCTTTATGCATACGCACATATGAATCCTTACACAGTAAACCACTAAAAAAGAAAATTGGAAAGTTTTTTGAGAGGGTCCAGCCTCAAAGTATCATAGTTTCAGCCAAACCTTGGCCCAGACCACTCTGGAGCCCACTTTGCCCTTTGAACATTGATCCGAGCTACGGGCTGCCCTGAAGGAGCTTAGGTGCTTGCTTTTATCTGAGTTTGAAGATGGTTCCGATCCAGACACAGGGTACTCATTCTGCATCATAGAAAAGGGTCTTGTACTTGGACTTGACCACTGGTTGAGCCTTAAGAAAAATGGCTACTTTTTATTCTATGTATTATGAGTGATGTTCCATTTCTGTCATTCCTTTTAAAATCCACACTGGTGCCCTGGCCGGTTTGGCTCAGCGGCTGGAGCGTTGGCCTGCGGACCAAAGAGTCCCAGGTTCGGTTCCCGCTAGGGGCACGTACCAAAAAGAAAACAAATAAAGAAACAAAACCCACACTGGTGCACTGACAACGCACATACCTGGTCATAGGACACTGGTGTCTGTCTGTGGTTTGACAGCTCCACTAATGTACTGACATCTGTCCGAAGATCAGATTTGCAGCCAACCATGAGCATTTTGGTGTTGGGACAAAACTCCTGGATTTCACCTTTCCACTGTGAGGGAAGAAAAGACGGAACATGAGCAAAGTGCGGACACGTATACAATCTCCACCGGCAGACATCGGAAATGGGACTCATGAAGGAAAGGAAAAGAAACTATCATTTCAGCGGAAGAAGCAAACTGGCATCTATCTTCTAAGTAGATATTAAGTTTTACTATATTTTAAAGTGGATCCATTAGGGAAGACTTATGTATATTATTATCTGTTCTCTCAGTATCTGTTCCTACTGCAAGAGACTTGTTGGGTGTTGTCAGAAGGTAGCTTCAGTAATTTCTTAATTATTGGGGTATCTCTGAAAGATAAAAGTGCCTAAGTATAATTGCATATTGTAATGAGTGATTACATCCCCGGATGTGTTGAGCTGACATTTCTTAGAGTGGAAGGCGGGGAACAAGGCAGAAGCACAGGTACACATTCACCAATCCCATCAAGAAAGACAGAGTAGCTTCCAGGAGCTGAGATCTGTATTGCAATTTCAAGGACTGGAGATGGAGTTAATAAACAGAACACCCTTCCATTCAAGTGGCTGAATCAACAAAGACCACGACCTTGAAAAGTCCCACCTCTTGGGCGATCAGAAAGGCATCGGGTCCTGTGGCTTGTCTGCCCTTGAGTTAGTTTAAAGTCACAGAGTTGTTAAATATTTCAATTCAGTGCAACTGGGTTCACTGTTCTGTGACCTAACAGGAACCATTCGAATCTCCAGAAATGTCTGGCAGGCGATTTCTTTTTAATCATCCCTTGGAAGAGCAAATGGATGTCTTTTTGTAGTTTCACTTCCTCAAGCTCAAGATGACCATCAGGATGGGAGCGGGGAGTTTCGAGTGTTCACCGAGAGCCCTGGCTCTTGGAAAAGAGGGATCAGAGGGGCTGAGATCAGGAATCCACACCTCCTCATTCTCCCCTCCCATGTGCACAAGTATGTATTAATTGCTTCACTAAATCCTGTGCTGGTTACAAAGATGATTAACTGTGCCTTCCAAAAAGGAAGTCACAGAAGAAGGGGGTGGTGAAGTCATGTATAGAATATAGTGGATAAGAGGGACACCCTGCAGGGATCATTTAGAAGACCACTAAGAGACATGCAGAGCTAGAGGTGTACTGTGGGAACAGGCTCAAGTCCCAAGTATACCAGTGGATGGAAGGGAGTAACATACTTTCTGTAAGAGCCTAATTTGTCCATCCACTCCCCCCTCCCAGAATTATTTAGGGGCATCCACCATGTGCTGAATGGCACTGGAGTTAAGAACTGGATGGTGAAGTGAAAACAAGAATACGATCTATCCTGCTTTAAGCCACTCTAACCTCTTTGATATTCAAGGACTTAACGGATTCAATTAATCAAGACAAACCATAGCAGGGGTTATCATGAGCCTTAAACCTCACACGAATGTAAAACACACTCATTAATATCTTTAAGGCCAATGTCATTCTTCATTTGGTCTGGGAAGACAAAAGCAAAACAAAAGAGGAGCGAGGCTTTTCATCATAAATTATGCAGAACTCGATGCTACACCAGGTAAAAGCTGTACTAAATAAGCAACCGCTTTTATCTGCAGACAGCACTAGACAGGCTGCAGTGTTGCTCTTCGGCGGTTGATGACTGTGGCCGCCCCCTGCATGTCAGCAACTGTTTACAAGCACCGGAGACGGTGTACACGGCCCGAATCTGACACACATTAGCATTATTCGCGATAGATGACTCAAACCAGAAAGAAGTTAAAAAGTAAAAAAAAGAGCCTCTGATTTTTCAGAAACTTCTATTTCCTTGAGATAACTGTGTTTGTCGTGTTTAGTAAAGAGAAAGTTCATCTCCAAACCCTAATTTTACATGACACAAAAGATAAGCAGTTAAACACACAAAATGGTATAAAGACACTGCCTTGGCCTCAACCGCGTGCGAAGCCCTAGGGCGGGAGAGGGGAGGGCGCTCCACAGAGGGTTCTGGCTGGGAAACCGCAGCGCTCCAGGCCAGGGCTGAGAACACAGCTGGCGGCCAATCCATAGGAAGGCACGTGCCTTCTGTAAGTACTGGGAACTGATCGGAGGGCTGGAGGCCAAGGCCAGCTCCCCGTCCCACTGGCCCTCTCAGTGCCCGGGACCCACCTGCAACAGGTCCCCTTCCTCTTGACGTCCCCCTGGTTCTGTCTGGAGCTTCCTTAGGCCCGCCTGCCTCCAGAAACCAGGGATGTGTTATCATCTAGAACGTGTTTACAACTACTGTTTTCATTAGAATCCGACATCTGCCTAATCACAAGGCACATCTAATGTCTGGAAACACACCCCTATTCCTCCTATGTTCGTTCTATTTCTGTGTCTAATAAATAAACGCATTACTGGAACACAGCTTCTTTATTAAAACAGCTATGACTGCATTTATCTCACTGTCTGAGTTGAGGTCAAACGTACACCTATAAACTAAGACACAATCTACAGGGCAAATGAAAGAAGGAAGAAGGAAGACATGCTTGGCAGTAATCAAATACAATTTCTGCCCAAAGGATAAACACCGAGGCTCGTAAAAGGGTCTTTTGTTCTTAAAATGAGATAAAACTTTAAGCAGGTTCGTCATCAAAAGTGGTGCCACACAAGGAAACCCTGTTAGAGTGTCCCCGTGTCTTTCCAGTGTTCTAACTGCAAAACAGAGCAGAGGATTCTCTGGAGTATTTGAGCTCCCCAGCCAACCATGTTTCTTTTTATACACGGGCCAGACTGAACTGTGTCATCATTCCCCAGCACTTGCCTTTTTTAGGACACTGTCCAGAGTCTCTGGTCTACTGATGTCAAAACAAATCAGCACGGCATCCGAATCTGGGTAGGAGAGGGGCCGGACGTTGTCATAATAAGGAGAACCTGAGAAGAGAAAGATACACACGTTTTCAGAGGAAAATCCCTGGTCTGTCATGCGTTAACCCTCCCCTTCTGAGTTAAATCCCTCCACTGTCACATGGGGGGCCCCACTCCCACCTCCTCTAATGCTCGGGAATGAATGCAAAACAAACAAACAAACAAACAAACAAACACAGGCTGAGTAGTGCTGTATGCGTCTCTGCCAGGAGAGGAATGAAGGCTCCTGGCCTCTGATGTGAATTCAGAGGAAGGGCAGGATCTTAGCGCTGACATCTGCAGTTCGGAGTGGAGCCCAAGGCACCTGGGAGGAATCCAGAGGCCGCTGGAGCCAGATGGCAGGGGGGCAAGCGCACCTCCTCCTGAGGGCGGGGGCGGGGCGGCTTTAGGACTCCGCCTGATTCCTCACTCACACACCGAGCCGCGTTATCAGCCGGGGATTACATAAACCCAGGCAGGTGTGGCATTTAGTAAGGGATCAGTAAGCATTAACTATGGTGATGGTTGTGTTGGGGCTAAAACTGAGTAGTAGCCAGCACCGTAAATGGAGCTAATTCTTGGGAAAAAGACCAAAACTCAAAATCGGGCTGACAACCCCAGGAGGGTGAAGGGGGAGGGAGGGAAAGGTGGGTCCGGCCCTTCAAAGAGAACCGCTCGGCGCATCTGGGGGCCGATCTCCCAGTTCCATGTTTGGATAAGCCACTGACCTTTGAGCTTGCTTACTTAAGCCCACCCCTAAACCTTACATTGCCTCTCTTCCTGTTACAACCAAGCCTGTAATAAATGCCACATTGGATCACGTCACTTTACACAGCTCCATCTCTGGAGTGACACGAAGGCATGATCCAGGGATCTTGGCCCCAGTTAACAAATCCAGGCCACCCTACAGGTTTACGTTACTAGCCAGTTAATTTCACCACAGAACCCTCTCTAGTCATTTAAGAAATTTCTTCCTTTCCTTTAGGAATCCCAAAGGATGGGCAATTACACGAGGCCAATTATTATAAAAATAATGTGGCTATAAAATCAAACACAGCTTATCAGTGCTTTTTATTTATTAAAATCATTTTCGGTGTACTGACATTTCACAGGCACAATATAAAAATCATTTTACTTATATATATATAAGTGAGCACACCCAAATAGAGAAAAAAAATCTAAACCAACAAAGTCTTTTTGAAAGCCAATTCCATTTTGACATCACCTTCCATTTGTAGCAGAAAAACATGACACGTCTCCTGATAAATCAAAACCCTGACAGTCAAGGTCAGGAGGAGAGAAAGACTAAAGAAGTTTTTACGTTTCTAGCAAAACAAACTTTTTCAGGAGGCTACCCTTGAGATCTATAAGTTATTGCATTTAGAGTACATGATCCTCTATTCACAGTATATTCTGGGTCCCCAGAATTCACCAAGGAACCCCAGGAACACGCTGCCCTTCACACCAGCTATTTTACGGACGGACACTGACAACCTCAAGCCAGGTGTGCCAGGTGTGCCAGGTGTGCCCGCCAGTCGAGGAAGAGGGCAACGTTCTAGGAATCGAGAAGAAAGAACATGAATACAGTCTAAGCCAGCATCCGTCAGGGGCAGCGCCAACTCCCTACCCTCATCTAGAATCGGGACCCTTGTGAGGCAGGCTTGACAACTGAAAGACATTTTCCAAAAGCTTAAAGGGTTCAGAGTTTCTTTTAAAATCAAGTCATTTTCAGCACTAAGGCACGTTAGAATGAGAATGTCTCTGACAAGCCCCTGCCTTTCCAGCCACTTGAAGAAATCGGAGGTTAAGAGGACAACTCACAAGTAATTCGCTAATTTAAACATTACCGAGAGACGTCAGAAATGAGGGCTTCTCGCTCTGTATGGGTACACTGGCATTTCTACATTGGCGCTGTGAAGGTCTGACTTTCTCAGTTGTGTCCAAAGTCGAACTTTGACACAGTTGCTGTGTCAACATTAGGGAATCTCTAAACACAGACTCAGAAAATTCTAGGTCCTAGAGTGGAGGTCCAAACGCCAGCCAGGTACACCAGTATTTCCTCTGCTCATCAGAGTGAGCAGGAGATGAGCTGATCCCAAACCCCTAATATCACAGCTGTCCAACAGGGAGGGTTGTCAGAGACCTAACCAGGCTTCCAGAGACCTTCCTTGGAGACCACTCACTTCCCAGTCTCGGCCTGATTGAGGACTGGCTTCTCCAGGTACCTCCCTCTTCCAGAACAAGACTTGTGACTGGATGAGAGTACTCACTGCTAATCTCAGATCTACAACTGCTCTGCATCACAAAGGAGACCGGCTTTTCCAAATACTACAAAATTTAGGAAAGCCAGCTGGAGAATGACGAAGGTGATAAAATAGACTAATGAAATTGGGAGTACCAGGAAAAGGGTTTCATCCTTTAAGTCACCACGTGGGCTCAGAGAAAACCCCTCCCACCCTTTGTGTGCTGGGTTTCCCTCCCCCACCCATTATCAGCCACAAAGGGGATCTGTTTTTTTCCCACCCTCTGCAGACTTTTGCTTACTAGAATCAAGCAATCTGCTTTCTGTGCTTAGTGAGCACACTCAAATATCTGCAAAATTTAGAGATGGTCGGACTTAAATTAACCAGTTTGCGACTTTTCCACATTGTTATGGAGGTCTGTTTCTGTTATGTTTTTATTTGGTTTAATAGACTGAATGAAAACACATGTGTGTGTGAAGTTTCATGAAAAATAAACCACTTTGCTTTGTAGATGTAAAGAGGCAATTTTTGAAACAAATTTATTGGGGTGACATTGGTTAACAGGATCATATAGGTTTCTGGTGTGGATTTCTATGATATAAGATCTGCATATTGCACTGCATGTCCACCACCCAAAAAGAGGCAATTTTTAAAAGCTCTGACAGGAGCCCTGGCTGGTCTGGCTCAGCGGTTAGCGTGTCAGCCCATGGACCAAAAGGTCACAGGTTCAATTCCTGGTTAAGCGCACGTACCTGAGTTGCAGGTTCAATTCCTGGCCCATAGGGGTTGTGCGGGAGGCAACCAATGGATGTGTCTCTATCTCTCTCTCCCTCCCTCCTTTCCACTCTATCTAAAAGTCAATGGAAAAATATCCTTGGGTGAGGATTAACCCAAAAAACAAATACATAAATAGATAAAATAAAACTTTCACAGATCTGATTAGGAATGATCCTGTCCTACTACTGTTAATGAACAGCACATTTTAGAGCAACAGGCATGACCAAAGGTAGTAATAAAATAGATCCCCACATTTATTACTTATAAGCATGATTTGCCCAATCACTAACTGCAAGAATAATGTGTCATGAAAAATAACAAGACCACTTACTCATTATATTTTTTGATGGGGTAAGGTTAAAAAAAAAAAACCTAATATAGAATTATAAAAGAAAAAAAAAAAAAGAATCTACCTAAAAATAATCTAACAATTCATCAGCTAACAATTCAGGGAAAAAAAATGACCCTGTGTAACTTGACAGTGTTTACTCTGTGTTTAAGCACTTTGAATTCTTTCCTGGTCTCTTCCATACAGCCCCAGCTACTGCACGAAGGCAGGCAGGCTGGAGAGCACCCGCTGTAATCACAGGCATGTGTGGTGTAACTCACCAGCCAAGAAAAAGTGAGGAGGAATTCCAGGAATGCCCCTGTGAAGCGAGAAGCAATTCTGGGAGGCAGAAGTGATACCAAAGCCAGGAGCTAAAAGTAAGCCCCTGAAACAGGAACAATGCCTGCCCTCAACTCCCACATCCCTCCAGAAAAGTCTTAAACAGTCTGTTAAGTCAAACAGCAAAGCGTTCACACACACACACACACACACACACACACACACACACACACACACAGGTGCAGGTGCAAAGCTTCCAGGGTAACCAGAGAACTAAACACAACACAAGAAAGCACACAAACATTTTTTTTGCGATGTAGGAAAAGTGCTGAACTCTAACTGCATGCAGTACACAGGAGGTACTAAGGTATGTACCCTAGTACCCAGGAATGTACTACAGCTAAATTCAGTAAATCTAGGTACTGAGAGTTCTCAAATAAAACTCTTTCTGAGCATGTGGAATAGACTTCATGCACACGGAAATCTCAGATGCAGCATTTGTTATTATGCACCATTCCAAAGTCCCTTCTCATTAACCTCTCAGACCATAAAGGGAAAACTTCAGGAAAACTCTGTATGGTAACTACACCACATATGCACCCTATCCCCACCCCCCAAAATACCTCTTTGCTTAAGTGTAGATTATGGAATAAGTGTGCACATTTGTGGTTCTCTGAGTTCCCCAAGTTTGGCCAACATCAGCAAAGTTCTAAAAGGCTTTGGAAATGTCAGGTCTACTCATCTTTGTCTTCAAGATCATTAACTCTGGGTGAGAGCAGTCTTTCCAGCCCAAGAACAGTCACAAAGCGCCTCACCCAGAAACTAATTCGGTAGACGCATACCTGCCTGTTTACGTCATCCTTCCACAAAGATAGAACACACCATATATGTACATCATTACATGTATATGTAAGAAGATTCATGCTCAAAAGGGAGGCTCTGTGGAACCTTCTGCCAAAGCAGTTCAAACACTGTGAGGCTCTATAGGAGTCTGAGGACTGGAAATTTTTCTAGTTGAGTATTTCACAAATACAATTTCTTTCCCTTGAACCTTAAATTAAAAATCTTTCCATTCCCCCTTAAGAAATTCTTAACAAGCCCTGGCCAGTTTGGCTCAGCGGTTAGAGTGTTGGCCTGTGGTCCCGAGAGACACGGGTTCGGTTCTCACTAAGGGCGTGTACCTCGGTTGCAGTTTGTCCCTGGCCCTGGTTGGGTCGTGCAGGTGGCAGCCACTCAATGTGTCCTTTTCACATCAATGTTTCTCTCTCTCTCTCTCTCTCTCCCTCCCCCCCTCTCTCCCTCCCTCCCTCCCTTCCTCTCTATCTGAACAAAAAAATGGAAAAGTGTCCTCGGGTGAGGATTAAAAAAAAAAATTCCTAACAAGAACAATAAAATAGGAA